TATTGGTTGGCTTCATTCTATACTACATGTCCTTTAGGCTTTCATCACTCTTTTAAATTATTTTTTCTTTTTGACCTTCTCACTGAATAATTTTAAATGACCTTTGAATTGCTGATTCTTTCTTCTGCTTCATCAAGTCTGCTGTTGAACCCCTAAGGTCAGTTTTTCAATGCAGTTATTTGCTATTCCAAAATTTATTTGGCTCTTTATTCTGTTTTCTATCCTTGTTGATATTCTCATTTTTCCCAATGTTTTCTTGAGATCACAGTGCCTCTTTATGACAGCTGTTTTATATTCTCTGTCCAGTAATTCATACAAAATCTATTTTTTTTTAGGACTGCTTAAGACAGATTAGTTTGTTCCTTTGTTAAGGCCATGTTTTCCTGTTTCTTTATGTATCTTATAACTTTTAATGGGATCTATGCATTTCAGAAAATATCTACCTCTCCTGGTCTTTATGAACTAGCTTCTTACAGGGGAAGATCCTCATCAATCATCCTGGCTAGAGGTTTTGGGAGCCTCTAAAATCTTTTTTTGGGGATGCAGCTTCTCTGAGTTACACATGCACTTTCTCAGGGAGAGGATGGCTACTTTCTTTTTCAAGAGGTCCATAATCTTAATGCCTTTGGACTTGGCCTTAACCTTCATAAGTTCTTTGGTTCTACAGAGGCAAGCCTCCTTAAGATAGTTGAGACAGACAGCAGTCCTTCAGATATACCTTTAAAAAGCTGGAATATAAATACATGCTCACTCTTCTTCCTTTGTAAGGGAGAAACCGAAGGCTGAATGCCTTCTCCTGGTCATGCCAAGCTGCAATGGCCTCTATGGTCCTACAGGCCCTCTGATGCTACAGTAAGTTGTCCCTGCTGTTGTTTGGATTCAGTTGCCACACGGCATCCAAACTATGCTGGGTCTCTCAGAGCTCTGAGTGAGGCAAGACAGAAATCACTTCTGCAGGCATCCTGTCAAAAAGCTGAAACACTGGTGTAAGTTCCAATGTTCTTTCTCTACACCTCCAAGAAGCCGTGAGCTTCTCTGCTGCCATGAAGTTATGTTGGCTTGCGAAAGGGTGGGTGATCATAGGTAAAGTGAAAACAGCTCTTCTTACTTGTTTCAATGTGGCTATTCTTGGCTTTGAGTTTGTCTGGGATACAGCAACTCTTAACTGGTTTCTGGAGTTCTCATAAAGATATACTGGCGAGTATATTCTTGTTAAATCAATGTCTTTGTGGGGGAATGAAAGCTGGGGCTTCCCATTCTGCTATTTTGCTTGTTTCATTGGTCTTTTTTTTTGCCTTCCAATGTGTATGTCTGATCTCCTTAAGGGGACATCTTAAGGCTCAGGTCCACTGAAGCGATCTAGGCTCAGAAAAGATGCTTAATAATTCCTTAATGAATGAAGATAGAAATCAATTTTAACATATTTTAAAGCTTTCAAGTTTCATGGAAGATAATTTGTGGGTGTTAGTTTCTATTCCTGGGGGAAACTTGTCTAAATAACCTGGTTTTGCAGGGATCCAAATAAATTCCCTGAGAGCTTATCCTAAAAATTCAAAATCTTCATTTACACTGCCAGAAAAGCATGTACTTTTATAGTGTTACAAGTGCTCACTTATATTTTATKAAAATAATAAATTCAGAATTATAGAAATTCTATTTATATTTGAGGCATAACCAAATCCATTTCTTTCCCAAAGCCTGCTAAATTCTCAAGTAGAATTCCTTCATGAAATCTTTAACAGGCACCTATTATGTGCTAGATACTCTACTATGTTTCCTGGGCTACTCTGTGGTTCTGATAACATTATAGCACTACTCATAGTTTGTCTCTGATATTTCGGTATGTAATTTCTTCCCTTCTTAACTGTGGGCTTCTAGAATGAAGGAACTGTATTAACGTACCTCTGTAACTGTGGCATCTGAACAGTGCTTTGAAAAGGATAATTGAAATGAAATATAAAAGTGCTAAAACAAAACTCTAAGAAGCTAGATTGGAAAAAAGATGTCTTCTAAAGCATCTGGATTTGCCAAAGAACCTGAAAGGCTGAAGTACCCGATAATCAAGTATTTTATAAATTCTACCAGATCACAATTAATTAGCCTCTTTTGTATTTTTCCTTTTCCTTCTGAAAAATGTGCCAATGACTATTTTCTTACCTCTTATTAAAGGACATGAATAAGTTAGTAGTCCATATTTCAATTACATGCACATTAAATTCAGCTAGCAAGAAAAATGGAAATGCACTCAAATGATTTCCAGAAACATAAAAACCACCATCACTAGTTAACCCAAACCAGGAAACACATCCTTTGCTGCTTACTGCCACAAACCCAGTCACAACAACATTAAAATTGACAGCTATAGAATAAAGAGAATAAAAGAAAAACAGGAAATGCCATATATAAGGAAAGGAAGGATAAAATGTATTTGGCAGCAAATGTCCTTGGATCCCAATTATGAACTAAGCAAAATTCACAGAGCAGAACAAACACAGAATATGGTGAAATCAATTGGTGAAGAGAGTAAAAGCCTTTYTGAGCGTTAAGAAATCTTGAGGTCACAAACAAGGGAATGTTATTCAAAGAAACTGGGGCATTTAATGAAGGACATAATCAAGGTACTTAGAAGCTCCTGGAATATGGTTGGAACTTAATAAATGATAGCTACTATGAAGAAGTCAGAACTAGTTCAAATGTTCCTCCTTGTGATGAACGCCTTCTTTTGTGCTCCCACCACTATGTTTGGGTCATCATCATACCATTCTTTTACTATGTGTTCTGGATGGAATGTTTGTATCCCTCCCCAAATTCAAATGTTGAAATTTCATTCCCTATGTGATATGCGGAGGTAAGGTCTTTGGGATGTAATTAGGTGTTATGGTTTAAATATGAGATGTCCCTCRGAAGCTTGTGTGTGATAAGATGGAAGATTCTTTCAGTAAGTCACCTTGTTCATTCTCTCACTTTCAAATGCCATTCTCTTCAGTTACCTGTTCTGTTCAAAGTAATGTCCCTTATATTACCAATAGAGAATAAGTTTTAAAGAGTAAGCTTATTCCAGATGATATAGCATGGAACAGTGGGAGAATGCAGGGTCTAGATTTTTGGTTTTCAATCTGATTTTGAAATCATTTTAAACCACCAAATAGGTTATAAACAGAGTAAAAAGTTCCCTTCACCCAGAATCCCCTACAAACCTCTTATAAAATCATAGCACAGTTAAGGAAAAGGAAAAAATGAATATTTAGCCAGTTTTCCCATTAATGGTCTTTATCTGGTCCAGGATCACATATTACATTTGTTATGTCTCCTTAGATTCTTCCATACAGTGATAATTCCACTTTTTTTTTTTTTTTTGTATTCCAGGCAAGCACCCCTTCACTGAGCTACATCCCCAGCCTGAGTTCCTCACTTTTTTTCTTGTCTTTCAGGAAGTGGACATTTTGAAAAATACTGGTCAGTTACTGGTCTCAATTTGAYAGACCTATGATTAACTCTTGGCTTACATCTATGTAGCCTTGGGAAAGTCAACCTCTTGGTGATTCAAGTTTCCTAATCTGTGAAACAGATAAGGCTGGTTTGAAAATTAAGAGAGGCAATATATATCAAAATACCTGAGATATAAGGCTAAACAACAAATACTAAACTTTCTCTTTGTGTTGTCTTTCAACTATTTTTGAAGATTTTTTTTGATAAAATGTCTCACCCATATTTTAATGACTTTTGTGATAAAACCATATATAATTTATTTAGTCTGTGGCAGATGATTCACTGACATCACTATTGCTGTTTGTGTAATAGTTCTGCTCTATATCTATCTTGTTTTATTCTCCTGTACTGCTCTTCTCTCTCATTGTCAGTATGCCTGCCTGTAAGGGCTTCATAATTACCTTTCTGATTTCTAGCCTGCAATATATAAAGATTAATTTATTCACTCATACATTCATTCAATGGTATGCTAAACTTACCAAGTGCCAGGTCCTGTATTAGAATCTCAGAGATAGTGATTAGGTACCTGCTGTCCTAAACACTTTCATGGCTAATGTTGGGGAAATGGACAAGTAAATAGTGACAATTCAATGTAATCAATTCTGGAGAGATGTAATATCTAGAATCACATAAGAAATATTCTTAACCTGGAACTGGGGAAAGAATCAGGTTAGAGAAGATTTAATCATGAAGGCACCATTATGCCTATTAGAATCTGCAAAACGTGTAAGAATTAACCAGATGGAGGGAGGAAGGGAGCAAAAGTTATAGAGTGTAAGGAAGAGCTATTAGAACTCTGTGCTGAGTAAAAGTAAATCAGTTCTGAAAAATAAATGTCCTATGTTGTAATCTTGCAGCTTGAGAGGGATTTTGTGCCAGTACCTCAGGGACTCAGAAACCTCACCAGGAAACTTCTGGCCTCAGAGTTCTGTTCTGGAGATTGTGGATGACAGACCTAAATGTTTGGGTATTCCACTGAGCTTACCTCTTTCAACATCTGTGAGCTGAAGTAAAATTTTAGGTTATAGTTGGCTGTTTGCTCCTATTTTAAAAGTATAACAGGTTTGTCCCTACAGAGGAGTTTCTAAAAAAAAAACATGTAAATGACTATCAAAAAATCCTTTTCAAACTGACCTTTTAAACTAAGCTGGTGAGAGGTTTTGAGGTTTTCTCAGCTTTCTTCCCTTCCATAGAACTCATTCCTGTGGCTTCAGAGGTTTGGCACTGGGTCCACCAGGTTCCAAAGCCAAATCTAACCATGCCAATTTGTGTTCTTAGCAAGTGTCACACATCTATCATCCATTAAATATTAAATGTATGAGAATTCAATACACATTTTCTTAAATTAAGGGTTTTTCCTACTGATCCCTATTTTACCCGCCTAATCATCTTCACTCCCCCCCCCCCTCCAATATGGAGAGTAAATAAACAGAATTCTTTTAGTTTTTTCCACAGGGAATATTTCTCAAACTTTAACTGCTTTTAATTTTCAAAGCAATAATATTACATACCATCAACTGGTGTATCAGGAGGTCCATTAAGAAGGTAATCTTGTTACTAAACAGAACATCGGTGCAGTTTTCTGAACAGTTATTACAGGTGAGGTTGTAAACATTGATTGCATTGCAAAGAGACCTAATAGAAAGAGAAAAACAGCATTTGTAAAACACGAGAAGCTCTTCTCCAAACAATTTAAAATACATAAAATGAACTGCCAAAGGAACAGGCATGGGATGGAAATTAACTCTAAAAATAACAAGCCAAGTACTATAAGATACAAGGCCTATCAACTAGATATAAAAGCACCTAATTTTCCTCCAAAGCCCAGGGTTCAGTAGTAACTAACATCTCTTATTTATTTCTACTGGTTGCAACTGTAAACAGTGAAAACATATTTATTAGTCTATTTGACTATTTCTTAATAACCTAAGACTAAATATCATCTTTGATCCTTCAAACAATATCCAGAAAAAGAGGGCTGGGGCTGGAGCTCAGTGGTAAAACACTTGCTTAGCACATGTGAAGCACTGGGTTTGATTCTCAGCACCACATTAAAATAATAATAATAATAACAACAACAACAATAATAAAAAATATCCAGAAAAGAGACGGTTATCAGATCTGATGGTCTGGGATAAGGGCAGAAGACAAAAGAAGACAGCAGACATGAGGAGAAACTAGAGACTTTCTATGTGAGGCAACACCTTCCCTGGAGGCTGTTTGGGTAGAAGAGGACATCATTCCGATGGAGCACAATTTGGTCATGGGCCCAAACAGTTTAAGGTCAAAATGATCAAAGAAATATTTTTGCCTATAGGATTAAAAAAATATGCCATCATCCAAAGAAACTTTTAAAGCAAYACTCTCAATGGTCATGGCTGGCCCTTTCCTGGGTATTTTGAATACTGTGACTGAAAGCTGCATTGCCTGAGTGATCAATGTTTATTCTGGCCTATCTGAGTAAATCTCTTGCTTAAGTCCCATAAATGTTTTGATTTAGTTCTTTATAACCAATCCTCTAGGATGGTAAGTTCTTAAAGTGTGATCCATGGATCATCAGCATCAATATTATCAGGGAACTTGTAAGAAATGCAAATTCTCAGGCTTCACTTCAGATCTAGTAAACAGAAACTCTGGGAGTGATGTCAAGCAATTTGCATTTTTTTTTTTTTGGTACCAGAAATTGAACCCCCAGGTGTTTTACCACTGAGTCACATCTCCAGCCCATATTTATTAATATCAATAAAAATGACAAGGGTTGGGACTGTAGCTCAGTTTTAAAGCACCCCTGGGTTCAGTCCCCAGTGTGTGTGGGTGGAAGGGGGTAGTCGGGGGAGGAGAAGCAGGAGGAAGAGGAGGAAGAGAAAAGAACCAGTGGGGTAACCTGTGCTACTTTATTTAATTTCCTAGTCTCTGACTGAAGCTTCAGGTATCCATTATGTGGTTTCATGGGTTTGAGATAGTTAAGGGGTGGTAGTTAAGGGGTGGTATTTTCTTTCTTTCTTTTTTTCTTTTCAATCTATTTTTTTAATTGATTTTATTATTATTTTTTCTACCTAACCTTTGTTGGTCTCAGAGGGAACAGCACCCCCAGTGGATCAGACTGATATTGTTTTTTGGAGTCAACCTAGAAGTCTTGGAACAATTTTCTAATACCTAATGTATTATTCTAAATTCCTCTTCTAATTAGAATATTTAAATTGAGAAATATTTTTAAAAGACTGTAGAGTGCCTCACCCTATGGACATAAAATTTTGGTTCAACAATATCTTACTATTGTTGTGTCCAATTTTCAGTATTATAAAACATGCTTTAAGTCAGAGGTAATAGTTGCAATCCACAAGAAGAAAAAAGTTCCAGCTGATGGAAACAGAAAGAACATTAAGTGACAGGCTAGTTAATATATCATAGAATTTGGAAARCTCAGGCATAGGTGCTACACTTTCAGGTCTAATACACAAATCACAAACTACTGAACTGGTCTATTAAAACAAAAACAAAACAAAACAAACAGAAACCCCTAAAGCAAATAAAAATAGATCACTGGGCACCATACACCRTAGCCTGAATGGACATTGTGACTTTGGATGCTAGACACAGCTGCCTCAAACTCTTAAATTTCTAGAGTTTGGGATGTCCTTACTTCTTTACTTCTTTAGTTTCATAGTAAAAACATGGAGTGGATATGCTGGGTTGTAAAGCCTGGTCATGCCTGCATCCTAGATACAATTCTCAGGGTGTAGAGCTGGGGAGACATCTTGTGCACCTTGGAAACTCTGCAAACATAGGATAGTAGATGAGAGCTGGGAGGCTTAACAGCACAACCCATATCTGCAAAGGCTGGTGAATAAATCATTTTGTACCATTCTGCCTGCTGTTTAGGATAATTTTCCAGTAATGAAAGTATGGATCAAAGGAATTGAACTTTTTTGGTGGCAGGGGGAGGGAGGATATACCAGGGATTAACCAGGGGCACTTAACTACTAAGCCACATCCCCAGCCCTTTTTATATTTAATTTTGAGACAGGGTCTCACTAAGTTACTTCGGGCCTTGCTAAGATGCTAAGGCTGGCTTTCCTCCTGTCCCAGTCTCCTGAGTTACTGGAATTATAGGCGTGTGTCACTGTGCCTGGCAGAACTGAACATTTTGAAGGCTTTCTGTAGGTATTGTCAAATTCAAACTGCCCTCCAGAATAAAAAGAAAACTTAAATCCATTTTTACTCCCAGAAAAAGATTTTCCCATGTTTTCACTAACAATGAAAAACTTCWTTAAAATAAATCTTTACCAATTTGATAGCTAAATACAAATGGTATTTTTAAAGGTTTTATTCCTTTTACTAGTAGTATTATTAAAGGGTTTTTAAAAAAGTATTTATTTGTTATAGCTATCTKTATTTTCCTGAATTATAATTGTGTGCCTTTTACCCATTTTTCTAATGGGATTTTTGTGTTTTTCTTATTGATTTAGAAGTTTCTTTATTGATAATCACATTAACTATTCCATCATATGGTACAAATAACTTTTGCAGTATGTTGCTATCTAAATTTTTTAGTTTAAAAAAAARTTTTACTTGATATGAAGTCTGCCAAGATTTCCTTCAGTACATCTGGATTTCCTGTCAGATATGGAAAGGCCTTTCTATGTTCAGATTATAAAAATATTCTTTTATATTTAATTTTGGTACTTTTGTGGATTTTGCATTCTAATCCATAATATAAACTTGTTTTAGAAATAAAGTATAGAGGAGAGATTAACTTTATTTTTTTCAAAATACAGATGTTATGTATACTTATATTTTGTTTTAGTTCTGAATTTTTATACTTTTATTAAAGATTCTCGTCTTTTAAAATGATTTATTAAATTTTCTCATTATAAATACACAAAGGGTTAATACATGTTAGTACTTTCTTCTAGTCTTTCAATTTGCTTAGGTTATTTTAAGGTATTTTTAATATATAGAAGCTGAATAATTTTATGTAGTCCAATGATTTTTCTTTGTGGTTTACTTTTTTCTGCCTTCTTTTTATGTTTCAAAAGTTCTTTCTCACAATGAGATAGGGTAACAAATACTCATTTATTTTTTTTCAAATTGTTACTGTGACAATTTTATGGTTTTATAAGCCACTTAATTCATTTTGAGTTTATTCTGGTATATAATATGAGTTAAGAGCCTCAATTTATTTTCTCAGTAATGATATGACTGAGTTATCTGTTCTTTATCCACTGGTTTGAAATGTCACCTTTATCATGACTATATGCAGAATATATTCCCTGGTTTCCTAATTTATAACTCTATTTGTGTGCCAATCACATATTCTTTTGTGCAACATAGCTTTATGGCAGAGTTAACATACAAAACTATAATCCCCAAAGGCTTTTAAAAAATATGTATGGGGGTATTATATTTAGAATGATGTGTAGAACATCATATTCCTATAATAATATCATTTTTCCCTTTGTTTTGATCTATATTTTTATGGCTTTGATTTTTAATTTCTATTTTTCCATTTTATTAGCAGAATTCCTACTACTTGTCTCAAATCTCTGGTAAACAATTAATGAGTTATAAATAAATATACATAAAAAAGTGAACAACACATGATCTGGGAGTATGTCCTACCTAATGCCCTCTGTGCTCTATGTTAAAGAAACTCATTTACTTGGAAATGGAATGTCCATCTGTACAATCTGAATGCTTGCAAAACTCTCCCAAGAAACTTCCACAAAGAATGGGAAAAAAGGGAGGGAGAGCCAAACATTTCAGGGTCAGAGAAAAACCTGTCCACTCAGTAAACTTGTTTGAAAAGACAACCTGTATTTGAAGAGCACCTGTCTTAGTGCACTTCTTTGAACCCAGCCTGGGTGGTCTGTCCAGGCAGCTCTCTCTGTAATTTTAAACTCAAATGACTAGAAGCACATTTTAACATCAAACAGAAGGCCGCAGAATTTGAAAGTATATTTTGAGAAGACATAAAAATCTCACTGTCCATTCTGTCAGAAGTATGTGGTGGTTGGGGAGTTTGAAATACAGCTTTTCTGCCCCAAATAATTGTGAATGCATGAGTGAATTTTTGTATCAGAAAATCTCTCACTAAAAATGTTCCTCTGAAAAGACGAAAAGAGGATAAAAAAGGATCATAAAACCAAATCTTTTGGAGATGAGTGCAAGAACTTATTTTTTACAAATAGGGGAGTATATAGAATACTAGTACATATCTAAGACATTAAGAAATATTAAACAAAAGCTCCAGAGTATTGCAGCCTAGATGGATTAAAAAGTACATCCTTATGCAGTTGCAGTGGTTAAGAATTTTCAAAAACCGTGGTTTACCTAAATCTATTGCCTTATACCAATGTCAAGAGAGTAAACATGTAAAAGCAACTGCCATCAGCAATTTCACAAAATATACATGAGTTGAATGGATGGCTTCAAGTTTCTGCACAGCAAAATTCTATACCAAGTAGGGACAGCAAGTGCTTAGAGTCACATAAATACAGCTGCAAAGGGAAACTTGGAATCTTCATCAATTACTGCTTTAGCCCTCATGCCAGAAAGGGATTGGTTTGACTGGATAAACAGTAAAGGTACAGATCCTCACAAAACATACAGGATGATTAGGAACTGATATAGAA